AGGAGCGGTAGAGACTGTGTGGGTGTGGGGGGGCGGGGGGGGGGGGGGTCTGCAGAAAAAATTAAACCAGTTCATTGATTCACAGGTCCACCTAAGTGAAGGAGCAATCCGATTGGTGCCCCCCCCCCGGTTATGATTTTCAGATTTTACAGTGGGGCTCTTATCTCTTATGGGGTCTCAGCCCTCCCCTCCCCGAGCTCCCCCTTAATTCACACCCTGGGTGTTGTGGTACATCATCGCATATGACACAACGCATTTTTTCTCCAGATAAAAAGAAACTAGAAGTTTTGCTAATATGCTAGGGCCTAAAGCTATATTATTCAGATTAAGATCTAAGCAAAATCAAATAACTTTATTGGAATATGCATTATTTTGCTGTATTACACATTATGTATTGGTCCTGAGTATGGTGCTAAACTGAATTCAACTGGAGAGCCTGGTGGGAACATGGTGGGGCTACTTGTTGTGGGGTAGCTCCTATAAAATACCACAATGTTGCAACCTCCAGAGTAAGGAGCATATAGGGTGCCTCAAAACCCTGGTCCCCGCTGCTTTGTGGGGTAATCCTTGCTTGGAGAAAAGCTATGGGACATCACCCTGGCAGAAATGTGCCCTCGATGAGGCATTAGGCAGTCAGCAGCAGTTCTTATCTGGTCTTCTCTGGCAGAAGCTATAGCCATCGAGGCACTGAACATCTGGATTTGGTTTGGCCTTTGGATTCTGTCTCAATGGTCTAAAAGAAAGATGGTAGGTCTTGGACAGCCTCCACTCCTCCATACTCTAGTCTAGGCATACACATTGAAGTTGTTGGTGTGATGGTTGCAGACCTCCTGCACATACATCATGATCCAGAGGATCAATGGTTGCCACACACAGAGTAACCATCAATCCTCTGGATCATGGTGTATGCATACATAAAAATATTATGTATTTAAAAAGCATAGCAAACTAGGTCAAAATGATCAAAAACTGTTTCTTTAGTTGTGTAATGACTAGAATTAAATGTACATCTCTGCAGACTCATAAAACAAATCAAGCCTCCTTGAGCATTTTGACAGTGCATCCAATGCTTCATTGAAAGTTTATTCCATCCATGCATGTTATTTCCACTGTCTCTCACCCCGTTCTCATCAGGAAACTGGGGGACTGTGGCGTAGATACCCACACAGTCCAATGGGTCGCCAACTGGCTAGAGAGCCACACCCAGAGGGTGGTAGTGGATGGGTCCTTCTCGGCCTGGAAGGACGTGGGCAGTGGGGTCCCGCAGGACTTGGTCCTCGGGCCCGCCCTGTTCAACATCTTCATCAGTGATTTGGATGAGGGGGTGCAAAGCACCCTGTTCAAATTTGCTGATGACACCAAGATGTGGGGGGATGTGGGCACAATAGAAAGGAGCAACAGGCTACAGTCGGACCTTGACAGGTTACAAGGATGGGCGGAGGAGAACAGGATGGGGTTCAACACAGACAAGTGCAAGGTGATGCACCTGGGGAGGA